CATTGCCTTGATCCTCATAGCTTTTACTGACAGCCGCGATTCTTTTTTGAATATGTCCCAGTGGCTCACTGATGCCAGAGCTTTGGCAAGCCCACACTTAGTTGCAGTCCTGGTTGGAAACAAGTCGGACAGGGAGGAGGACCGTGAAGTGGAGTGGGCTGAAGCTAGTAGATGGGCGGCGCAGAATGGTAATCTGTCGTTCTTTTGACCTTAAATATACTGACACTATTAAAAGATGTTCACTTTCTCGAGGTTTCTTCACTAAGCGGCGACAACGTTGAAGCTCCATTTCTGCTTGCCGCAAGGTCTATCCTACTTTCCATAGAGTCAGGAATATTAGATCCCGAGAAAGCCGGGAGCGGTGTCAGCTATGGGGACCGTGCTCTCCGAAGAGTGACGAGCTCTAGCCATCTTAGCTTTGGGAGTCTTAGCGGAGCTCGAAGGCGACGCTCGGACAAGCTTCGATTGAAAATTGGGCACCCTCGGGCAAATGTTGTTAGGTAGTGATAATCGACGGCTGGTGAGTATTGAGCTAGAGTGCCGCTTCTGCCTTGTTTTCCTTGCATATGGCCATGCGCCTCGTGTCACCTCTTTGTATACCACTAGTACTCTTCTTGTGTTTTCGATCACATATTCTACTCAAACACTGTACATCATTTCACCCTTGCACTTTACTGATTCACAGTATCTAATACGTGTAGATGCTTCATGTGATATCTCCCATATATTCCCATAGTTATTCATCATCACTGTTATCTCATGGATGGTTATATTTCATGTGGAAGGTTCGATATGGCACAGTGCCCCCTACACCCTGTGAGGCTTTACAGCATGCAACTTTCCTCACGAGTACCTACTAAGACCTATCGAAGGAGGTCTTCTTGTCGACGCTATATAGTTGACACATGCGTCAATACTTCAACTTGTTGTTCTGTACCGATGCCCAGCATTTCCATCCATGCAGGGGTGAATGAGATTCTTGAACAACTTGTGCGTTCAATTTTCTGTTCTAGTTCCTGGCCAGAACCTGATGTCCATCATAAAAAATTGGATGGATATTGACGTATTTGCCAGTGCAATACTTTGGCGGTGAGTTGTGCTGCTGCGATACCTCAGCGATGTTGACTTAACTGAAACATCATGCAAGTCATCATGATCATCTACTCGGCTACACGCCATGTATCAGAGATCCAGAAAAATACTGATATTTCTGGTTGTCGTCTTCCTGGCTGTCAAGATTGCGACCAGAGTGATCACCGAAATATCAACGACTCATTTAAGAAGGTAGGCTTTATTCATGGATGAAAGACTTCGGTGCCGCATCAGGCTCATCGACGGGTTCAGCAGAGGTGCTCATTCTATCCAGCACCTATTAGTGCACTGTTACCTTTTGAGGGGAATCTACTTATGGTTTCCATGACCATGACTGCATGGGGGGTCCTCACGCCGTGTCTCGCATTTTGGATTGTTGTTAAACACTTTCGTAACCATCGAAAGGATGAATATCGGGCCCGGGGACCGTTCCACGGCGTTGACGAAGAGTAACATAGTTTACTTCGCAAGGTGAGCTCATAACGTGAACCCAGTTCTCTCCCCCTGCTTAAGTTTCACGCATATCAGCTTTGTTGTTGTTCCGTGCATCCACCTCATTTATTTGTCTCCGATGCTGTCAGCGGTATCATGATGCCGATCTGTCACTGACTCCTTCAGTTCACCATTCTATATGGGACTTAAATTCCTGGGGAAATCGTCCCTGTTGGCAATCTTGAAAAAAATTCGTGCATCCAGATGATTGTGCTGGGATCACACTAAGCTCGTGGCCAGCTCCGATATGGGAACCACCATGAGTTCAGCTAACGATTTTCAGGAACGCCTGCATGTGTCAACTAGTAGTAGTGTAGCACGAGAAACGCTCGATATGGTTAACACTTTTCGGGTACTCTGCAGGGAGCGGAACAATTTATTCTTTATTCCGAGCTTCATCCAGCGCATGGCTGCCCGTGTCCATAGGCTACGACTAAGCCATCAATATCACCGTAGCGACAGCCGCCGCCAGTCCACTCCTCATCTGGCCTCACTCGGGACTCGGGAGTGCTTCTGCCGATCTTGCATAGCGATTTCAATTTTGGTTGGGATGTAGATGGTAAATTTAACAGACTAGGTTGCACGTCGCTATGATATATCATGGTGTGACATGTCTTGTGTCTTACGGTAACATTGTCGAGCTGTATTCTTACTACCACAGTACGCGGTCCTTTCGCATAAATGCCGCCGAATTCGACTTCAGAACCCTCTCAACTCCCACTGAGGTTTCAATCTTCAGGGTCTACCGACCTTGAGCGTCTCGTCTCCGCTAGTATGTACTTATTGTAGCTAGAGTGCGGCGACACAACTTGCTTCGAACATGTCGTAGACAATGATCGCGAACCGGACGTAGTACTACCTCCATGGTCCATTCTCGTGTCTCTCTCCCCTTAAGTCAGGTCTCCCATTCCGATACCACGAACATCGGAGTTGGAACTTGACACGCATTGCCTCTTTGGCGGAAACATATGAATCACAAATGTTGCACTTGCCACCACTGCTTCTCCCGTACTGTTTACCACGACGCTTTGGCAGTGTGCATCGCTGTTGTCGTGCCAAAACTGAGTTACCCGTCTTTTTCGGCGTCGCCCACCCTACCAGAGCAGGCTCTAATTATGGTTTTCGGGTGTCAAGATGAAATGGGCTGGCAGGGAGGCTTTTCACCACAACATCGAAGAAACGAAATGCAAACATCTCTTGTGCCGATCTCGCAGTCGAGTGTATATATTTGCTGTGAAAGCTAGGTATACGGTCATAGCGAGTCTCGTTCTGATTGGTGCACTACAGATTTCCATGCTGTATGCTTGACTATGCTGGCGCGGTCCTATTTCCAATAGACATACTTCAACCTAACAATGCATTTGACTCGAATAACCCAATCTTGTTGTCCTCCGCTCTTATTAGCAAGAGCTTTTGGGTACCCGTGCTAAGGAACTGTATACTGGTGGGGCGCAACCTGGCGCAGCAGGTGTAACCCGATATGGAGTGGGCCGATGGAAGCATCCGGAAGTGGGTAAAAACTATAACTACTGCCATTAAACGCTTGGCTGTAACCAAGCTGCTAGCTTGTACTATCAAACAAGACTCGGAGCGCGAACCAATATAGGAAAGTCTCTGAAGGATTTTTCTGTCTGCCGGCTTAACGATATAAACATGCTCCTTGTTTCTGTCTCTGTTATCGTGCTTTGTGTCTTTGCCCAGGGAAGCTTCTCACCAGGATTGGGTTGCTTGGCTGGTCCACAACAGTACTTGCGCACAGATACCCCCTGCTAGCCTGGTTCTAATCAGCCTCCCAGGCTCATCTGTAAACCTCGCTATTCAGCCTCGATATTTCGACCATGGCCATTACACTGATGACCACCGTCCCTGGATTGCACCTGCAGTCCCCTTCATTGTCGATAATAACTTCTCCGACCACGTTTGTGCATTCTTGGAAGTCTCCACAATCACCTGCGTTTCCAGATCTCTCTCCAATACTCCCCCTCTCGACCCCAGTATCATCCACCTTCCAACACCGCGTCTCCACGAAGAGTGTATATCATGTAACTCCTTTCCCACGCATTCCACCAGAGCTTTTCCTGGACATCATCTCGTTCCTTGCTGTGCCAGACACGCCCACCATAACGAGCATCTACGACCAGCCCAATCTCGCAGAAATCTGTAATTGCTCCCTCGTGAGCAGATTTTGGCTATACGCAGCCCGGGATCATTTATGGAGATACGTGCGACTTGGCAGCGGACGAAGGGGGAATAATTTCGTCGAGTTGTTACAAAATTACAACTCAGAGCATGAATCCACCCTTCCGAGTTTTGTTCCGCATGTCAAGCACCTCTTCATTCGTGAATCGCGGGGAGGTCTGTCGTGGGACCCGAAATGGCTTAACGCAGTCTTGCCAACCCTAGCTGACTCGCTCGTCAATCTCCACTCTCTCGAAGCTGAGCGAATCACCTGGGAGTATCTGTCGTCCAAATCTCGGGATGCTTTTATGAAAGGATTCAAGGGTGTGCGGAAGCTTGCGCTACGGGTATGCGAGTTCAGGACGACGCTGGAGATGATCAAGGTTATAGGAGTGTTTGAAGATGTAGAAGTGCTCGCACTGGACGGGGTGCGCTGTGAGTGGGATGATATACCTGCGGACTCAGCGGTGTTTGTATCTAGAGCAGATGATAGAGCGGTCCCTAAGCCGCCAAGAAAACTTAGGGAGCTCGCGATGCGGGGAGCATGTACCAGACATATGTTGAAGTGGATGAGGGAGGCAATGAAGGATGATGGAGGGCGGGTGGCAGTGGAAGTGTTGAGACTCGGAGCGTTGGGTGTCAAGAGTGCCCCAGCAGTGGGGAAGTTCTTGAAGATGCTGGGCGCAAGCTTGAAAGAGCTTCATCTCGGGTTCGATGTTGCATTCATAGACGATGGAGGTGAGAACTTACTTCTAACAACAAAAGACTAGGACTCACACAGTGCAGACGAGATTGTATCTCACATTGACCTCGGTCATAACAATTTTTTGAAGGAGATGCATGTGTATGGACTCATTATTCCTTCCTTGCCGCCCCCAGATCTATCAGATCTCGATCCTCCCCCGCCGCCACCGCAGTTGATGCCACTCACTGTCCTCTTCGACGGTGTGCGTGCGCCATTGCGAGCCCTCTCGCTCGCATTGTACCCCGCTGATATGCACGCCCTTTCATCAATAGACTTCGAAGGGTTAGCTCACGTATTGGACGGAAAGCCTTGGACAACCCTGGAGGATGTACAAGTTGTGGTGGCAACTGAAGATGATGGAAGGATGGGCGGGATTGTCAATCAGAAACTGGATAGACTGTTCGAGAGAGGCGTGCTGCGAGTGGATGTAGGTTTTGATGACAGGGAGGTCATATGGATTTGAATACTTAGACACATAGCTTCGTAACACGATCTCATATTAACTTGTCTCATTTTGCCATTGGTGTTCAGTGTCTGGCTGATACTTGGAACAATTGCCATACTTTTCCGCCTGAAGTATATTGTGCTTGTCGTCTTTGGCAATTCTGTCCTTTGTTGCGATTCATGCGTGGGCACATTGTGAGGATAGGAAGAGCTTGAATTTGTGTGCGCTGATCTTGTATGATAGGTAGATAGTACCGGATAGCTCATGGAGCTCAACAAAGTGGGCGATGGAAAAAAAAATCAGCCACTCGCATTGATGATGTTGGACGTATTGGTGACGAAACCTTGAGACTGCCCCCTATTCGATTAGTTCCGAATCCGTCACGCATGTAAAACCGAATGCTCACGTTTGCAGCATTGTACAAGACGTTCTCAAGACCGCCAGCTGGAGAAGTTGTCGCCGTGATGTCCTCAACCATTACACAATCATAGCCTTGGAAGTAAGCGTCGATGAAGGTGCCCGAAACGCACTGCGTCAACTTCAGCAGCAAGAAGGCGAGAAACTAAGTTGATGTCCCACCTGATCGGCATTTACACCTCCAAATAATAATGTTGTAATTCCATTCTCCTTCAGATAGAGGTCCAACGCTGTCTGATGTCCCCATATCCCACTCATCCTGCACTTTCAGTCAGAACTCAGTACAAATTGGGAGTATGTTCGAAGAAACGGACCTATTCTTGTGAATCCAAACGTCGGTTCCCTCTTTCTTTCCTTTTAAGTACTCTGCTTGCAAAGGGCCATACAACTCCGAATTGCAAGCGTCTCGCATGAGCAATCTGCCAAAGTTGCCAGGCATTTCAGTGCCGAACCCTCCGAACCCTCCTTTCATGAATCCCCTGACCACAGCAGGGGGAAGGGTCTTCAGCTCTTGATCAGTGAGGCCCCAGTTCCTATTTTACGGTTGGGTGAACAGTAACCGATGTAAAAAGG